TAAATCTTTCGTCTCTCATGCAGTCCCGTCAAACTGTCTCACTGTTCCAACTGGACCGCTTCCTTCCTCACTTCCATTCACAATCATCCTCGTCACATCTCCAGCTGTGAGCCTCTTATGATATGTCCAGCATATACCACCTTCCTTCTCGTCAGACTTCTCAGTAATTATTGCTTGTGGCCATTCTCTCTCGGCGCATCTTCATTCTTCTTATACCCCCATCTGACTCATTCCATGCTTCTGTCATGCGACATCCTAAAACGCATTTAGTCTCTTTTCATCTCATCCTTCAGCACTATCCATGTTTCACTGGCTAATCCCACTTCCCTATCTACTTTTCTAATGAACAATCATTAAACCCAGCACTCATCTCGAGATGGATTTCTTTCCACGTTGAATGCTGCTTTAGACAATTCAGTGTACATGAATTGTTTAATTATGCTGAATGCCACTTGTCTACATAAAAAACATGTTTTTTAAAAAAAAAATTCAATCAAATTAAGTGTTCATACCAAAATTAGCGTTGCATTATGATTATATTAGAAAAATGATTACTTGGTAGCACACAAGCGCACCAAGTAGGTGATGATGCATTGATTCATCAATGACAATACGTTCAAGCTCGTTATACTACGATCACATCAAATGATGCATGCAGAAATCGATCATTTCCAAAATAGCAAATGGCTCACAAACTCTACAATCACCAGAGCTTCTAAATGCACAACGGAGAAAGATAAAGCCACCCTGAGTCAAATCACGACTCCCCACCTTGACCATACATCAAGTTGCAAAGGGTTGTGGGGGGATGGGAGGGAATCGTGACAAGCCTAATGATGCCCATTCAGTGACCGGACGCTGGTACTCAACGTATAACTACAAATATCTCTGCTGGGTCTACTTCAGGGCGTGGTGGATTACCCAGTCCCAGATCACACTGACCCATCGCGTTGCGCCCAAAGCCTATGGGTGGCCATTGTCAGGTTCCATTATTTTGTAACTGGGAGAAAGCATCAAAGCATGTGGTGAGTGAAGCTACACGGGTTGGCACAGCAATGTTCTAGGGACATCAATGGTGGAGCCACAAGCGCATGGTCTGTTCAACTGCTGCAGTGGTTCTCGGGGTACAACGTAGGCAACGTTCCCGATTAATAATCATGGAACGTGCAACAAAGTATGCAGCTTAAGTGCTTTATGAAATGCGTAGAGTACCGGAAAAGGCTCTGCACTCCACGTGGGATTCCACGGCACGTGAATTCACGACGGTCGATCATATCGCGACTTGTACAAACGCCAGTCATTGCGCTCAGTCAACCCACCTCACTGCAATTTTTTTAACAACAAATAAAGACGCACCGTGACCCCAAGACGCACAACAGTCCTGAACAGTTTTGGGAAACGCGATCGCCTTTTGCGGACATGGGGGAGAGATATGACAATGCAACTTGATCATGAAAGCCAACCAACCAGCCAGGGATCCGATGAGCGACAATCTCAACGCACAATCTGTAGGGTGGGAAATTTGCGCTCAGTTGACAACAGTGGTGACAGGGACGCTGCGGCGATATCGTGGCTCCAAACGCGAGTGCACAGGCGTCCACAATGAAGGTATCGCGCAACCTGCATCTTTGTTTTCGCATAACAAACTAAACTGCCGATTACTTATAAGGACATGAATCCCGACATTTTTCAAACGCATCATGTATTTACATTGTAACGCTATATACATCCATAACAAAGGTTTTTGGGTTAGATCGCGCGAGTATGTGTCAAAACCCTCCACAACCCGACGGTCAATTCGTCAGGGATTTGTCACTTAAACAAAACGCCAATTAGTTACTTCAGCCCACCGGTGTGTTAGAGTAAATCCACAACATTTACAATTTGAGTAGCACGACGTTTCGTTGGTAATCACATCCATCGGGTGATTCTGGCAAATCTATTCTGACAAATCGCCCGATGATGCTGGATGTAATTACTAGCGAAACGTCGTACATGTGGATTTACTCGACAACACACCGGTAGGCTGAATTAATAATTGGCGTTTTAATTACGTGATAAATCCCTTACTAATTGACTGTCTCGGGTAGTGGAGGGTTACGACATTTATACTTAGCGATCTAACCCAAAATTATTATTATGAATATTGGTCGCGAAAGCCTACGCGATAAGCTACATAGTTTTTGAAAATGTTAATTATAAACTATTCTCCATATATGTGAAAAGTGAAAATGCAGTTGATCCATCCTGGATTATTAAGTGATTTCGGTGTGTAGTACATGAGCGTGGTTACAGTACAGTATAGCCATTGGTATGTGTCTAAGGGGCCGTCCATAAATGACGTCACGTGATTTTGGATGATTTTTTACCCCCCCTTCGTCACACGGCATCACAAAAAGTCAGACACACCCCCCCCCCCTTAAATATGACGTCACAGCTCTGCCCCCCACAAAAAATAAAACATGCTTCAAATCGCTTTAAACTATTGTCATTGTAGTGCGTATTTAATGTGGCGCTGCACTCTGATGTAGGAGAAAACATTTATTAAAAAGTCCCTTTAATTAAGTAGAACGTGTTGTCTATATTTAAAGTTGCGCATTTTGATGTGACGTCACATTTCTCAAACCCCCCCCAAGTACGTGACGTCATTTATGGACGGCCCCTAACGCAGAAGATAATTGTGCAAGTTAAATAGCCTGCACCCACACATGCGTGGTGTGCCGGCAAGGGGACATTACCGACACATGCATGTGCAATGCTCTCCCGTGTGATTGATGATTGTGCCTTTTCAAATACATTCCTCTTAAAACACGTGCCACCATACATTTTTTTTATAACGAATTGTGCTGTGAATGATCTCAACATGAAACCCCAAGACGTCCTAAGGTTTTATGTGTACAGATTGTTAGCCAACAGCGTAGGCGAGAAAACACTCGCGCCTCGTTACACACGATCATCCGTCTGATCTGCCACGGCTCCCGAGTCCCGCTGGGTTTCTCACGACTCGTCGTGACGAGTGAACAGCGCCTCTCCATGGGCGAGTGGTGTACATGGCAACTGCATGTCAGCCCCACACATCATGAGAAGGCACTTGGCATCTTGAAGCCATCGACACATACTCGGGCCTCATCGTGGAAACATTGGGTATAAACGAGTGGATTCCTGTAGACTGCACTCAGAGCTCTATACACGATTGTACATGTGCAGAGTTTAACATGAGAAAAAAGTCATCCATCCGTGACTGCGCGACAGTACTTTGTGAAGTTGTATTTCCTAAACATTTGACAACCAATCTGCACACTTGTGGTAGCGTTCGATAATAAAACCTTACCGCAGTAATTGTGTATTATGGCTGTGCAGTGTTTTTCCTGTATGTCAAATGTGTTGATGTATTCACATGCACGTACCAGTCTGTACCAGTACTATAATGTGCCACATATGCTCTCTGGTTTCAACACGTGCCAGAATTCAAGAGACCCATATACAAACAAAAACAACCACCCAGAAAAGTGGATACCTTCGACATTAGCGTACGATTTCACTGCCATGCAATCTGCACCCCACCCAGCATACTTCATCGAAGTTTGAGTTACGCAAGCCGTACCGCACGAGTTTAGGTGGTTCACATTACCGCAACGAAATAATACAATGGTAAAAGACAGATCAAGACGGGAGCGGGCCGGCGTGCTGCAGTAGAGGCCAAACCAGCATGCATGTCGCGAATCTATTTGACCGAGAAGGGAAATGTGCGCAGTGGACTCCGATAACGGCCTCAACTTCTCAGTTGGGAGTCGTTTCTTGCCAAAGCTCACGGTTCCTCGTTCAAAGCGGGGTGGGGTGGTCCTTTTTCGCCAGACACGTGTTCCCTAAAGCTCCACAAGTTGATTGTAAATGTAATCCTGAATGGGGGTTCAGACCGAAATTAAATGCAGATATAAGGGTACACAAGTGGTTGATTATCAACGTGAACGTGACGAAATGGGTCGCATGGTGAAGTAAATGTGTCGAGATTAACGGATGGCCCGAGGACAAGCAGGTGATAGTGGACGAGTGCCCAGGCGAGTAAATGTGGAGTGAGCAAATAGTGAATGAAAGGGTGACGGGGGGGGGGTAGTAATTATCAGAAGAGTGCTTCGATGGGACGTGATTGGGGAGCAGAAGAGCAGACGTTGAGTGAATGAGTAACATGGTGATGCGAGGCAAAACACCATTAAGGGCCACGGTGCAAATGTTGCCGATGTGAAAGTTCCCGCAACGCCACAGCGGCCAACAGGTAATGGGGGGAAGCAGATGAAGTCTCTCGTCAGCCCGAGCAATGAGACCACTTGAATGTGGAGGCCATTGCCAATGTGTCTCAATAACAGTTGCAGCACTTGCATGACAGCGGTGTTCCTTTCCAGTGCACACCCCCACCCCACTGCTGCCACAAACTGATAGTCAGCATTATTGCACAAGGCAATCACAGCTTGTACGCGAGGGCTGCATATTGTGGCGACCACCAATCCAAAGAACACATGGCAATAATTCATGCCTTGCGTCGACTAAGTTCAGATTGTAAGTATTGCAGCTTACCCCCGCGCAATTGCCTCGAGGCAAACTGTGGGAGTGGTTCCAAAACACCGCCAATGTCACCACCAATTAGGAAGTGTGCCTTATCACCTTATTAGAACCCACATCTCTTCTACAATTATGTATGTCTTAAATGTTTTGGTTACAATGCATTTACATATTTCACATTGGTAACCATTAATTTATTGAAAACAATTTTACCAAAGGCGTGTATGTTGGTCATGGTATTAGGGCACGTGATGATTTATATTACCATAAACACAATTGAAACATTAATCAAGGCCAACTTGTATTTTGATGCTTTATTGTCTATTAACCAGTGGCATGTAAACATACAACCTTCTATAGTGGTTTTAAGTTTTGCCAAGGAGTGTATATATGGACTAGGGTCTTGGTTACATGATGCACTGATAAATATATACTAGAATGTGTACTGTTGAATCATTTAATAGCGGTAGTTCAAACAAGACTCAAAACTGATTTGGAAGGGTGGGTAGCCAGTACTGATGGCCCATAACTGAAAATAAACACAGCAATCACTTAAGACGTTAACATCTATTCACAAAAATGCATGACAGGCAGTTTAAACCAATATTCTATATAAAGAGTAAACGTCTTCCCTGCAACAGTATAAAGGGCTACTGTAACCAGCATAACAGCCAAGCAAAAAACTGCATGCATAACTCTTCCACCAGATAGTATACATTTTGACGGACGTCTTATAATTGTTTCCTTCCCCCAGGAGTTGTCTGCTTGATGAGCTAAAAATGATTAAGTATGCATGTCATCAGTTACAATGAACTCCCTGCAGCAGTAGCAGGTTTTATATTGCTTCTGCTGCTCGCCTGTGTAAACATTTGCTGCGATCCCTCACGATGGGAGAGTGGGGAAGAGTGGGGAGAGAGGGGAGGTCCGATGCCGCGCCCACAATGCGGCATCAGCCGCGTGCCCCGCGTCGACTACGCCCGCTGCATTTCAAGCAGGGCCTCGACACACACGGATTCTCCATACAACATGAGCGCAGAATTTAATCAAAAAAAAAGGCACAACACCGACGACTGTTTCATTCAAGGCAATGCACTCAAACCCTCATAGCCAACATAAAAACCAGGCCTCCATCGCAGTCGTGTTTCCCAACACATTAACATCTTTAATTAAAAACCGACACAGGTCATATAAGGGGCTTGGGAGAAATAGGACATTGACATTGCTCAGTGTGCAGACAATGAGTTGTCTGCAATGGGGGAGAACCGAAAGCCCAAAGTTGACCCGAAGAAACAACCAACCAGCCATTTACTCCACTCCAACCAGAACAAATTTGACAAAGTATTAATTTGGGCCTTGTACTGATATCATCCACAGTTAGCACTCCATATCTAAATTTCAAAACATTTTAAAACCAGGAATGCAATACTCCCACACCGCCACTGTGTACAAATCAGCAACACAAACAGAGCAAAGTTAACAGGAGTAACTGAACAGTATACACTTTATTTGTTTCTGAAATGATTTGCACAAGAATGAGCGAGAAAGAGCAACAACAGCATGAAACCTTGCGCAATATGCATTTAAAGGCCAGAATGGTGCAGTGAGAATGGGTGCACGGCTGGCATAGTTTGTCCGTCACACACGTTCATTCCCAGTTCATCACCACCACCCACCACCTCCAAACAGCTGCACAGCAGTTGGGTTGCGTAGCCTGTCTAGATGTGTGACTGCAGCGGTGTAGACTCGATTCTCCCATGAGACACGTGTTTGGGCTCGGGAAGGTTGGGGAGGAGGGGGCACACACTGCGTTGTGGGGGCACTCATAAGCGTGGCTTGGCCGCAGCAGGCAGTTTTATTTACACTTGATAAACAAACGAAAACACCACTTCCAGTCATTGGCGAGCCCAGACAAAACGAGGCAAGCCAGCAGGGTTACAGACAAGACAGGTGAGTGTCTCCAACAGCAGACAAGCCATCCATGGTTTAACTTCTTCTGGGGGGTAATCTATGTTATACAAGGGGAAATGTTCTTTACAGCGCTCTAAACTAATCAAATACAGAATACATCGTGTGCAATACACTAGTATTCAATTACTGGTTTACAACCGCTAACAAATTAGAGCCTTTAGATTTATTAACTTTTTTATTCTTTCCCGCAAAGCAAAACATTCCTAGGGACATTGTTACCTTGAATAAAATCAGCGACCGTACTGAAAAATCACAACCAGATCTAACATGTTTTGGTCTAATTTATTCATTAAATACACAAGACAAAAAAATTCAATCAACAGCCTTCAGGTTAACTTCATTTTCAGGCAGTGCGAGGAGACAAATCTGCATGACAGTAACATCTGGCACCAAAGGGCAGCCAATTTGAAACTAGTGTGTGGCCACGATCGCAGTTTAGAGGCTGGGGTGGGAGGACAGAGAGCAAGTGCAACCTCATAAAAGCTGGCTTTTAAGAGAAGAGAAAGCCAGAAAATGAAGTTAATCCAAATCAAGCCATAATCGACACTACAAACCATCCGGGACGAGGTGGAGACGTGAGTGTCCGCGGAGCGACCCGTCCAACGCCCTCCCCAAGAGCCCGTCCACCACTTGCCACTCTCCATGGGGAGGCACGTGCCGGGCCATGTGGTCATCTTGTTGGGTCAGGGCCGGGGGTGGAGAGAGAAGGAGGGGTTGAGGGGGGGGGGGAGTCTCACACCACCTCTAGCAGCAGCCCCCACCTCCTGTCTTGACGGGAGTGCTATCGATTTTGACGTTGGACTTTCCAGCGCCGGCCTGTGTGGCCCCTGGCCCCATGCGCTTCTTGATCTCTGCTGCCATGGTCATGAACGCCTGCTCCACGTTGGTGGCATTCTTGGCACTCGTCTCCAGGAAAGGAATCTCCAGCGAATCCGCAAACTCCTGCAGCCACCGGCGGGGAAGGAGGCACGCACAACAGCAACAAGTTACACGAAATACTCCACGCAAAGACGGTTATAAACACGCTGCACCCACCCTCGCCAGCTTCTATGCTCGTGTTGGCAAGTAGGAATTCACAAGCCCTTATGAAGTTGAGCTACAAGTAAAAGTTTACTCAATATAAAATGAGGAAGTGGACGTACAAAAAATCAGGCGGCAACTTAATAATTTACCATTAACGAACACTTAAACCTGTAGTAACTGAACACAAACACTGAAAGACCTCAGGAAACAACTTGAAAACACATGTAGACACCACCACCAAATAAAATAATTATTCTCGGAAATTTTAAAAGACACCAATATATGCAATGCATGGGTACACCATGTACTTTGGAGAACATATTTTCAAGTAAAAGTGAGCAGAAACATTTTGGGGACAGACTAAAACATTCTAAATGTCCCAGTTTAAATTATTAAGTGTCCACAGTTGACAGATCAATGACTTGATCATACAAATACAGCACATTACCATTTTCACATTTACCTGATAATGCCAGCCAAGTATTTTTTAAGCAACTGTGTACACATTGAAAACCCTTTATTTGCAAATGTACATGTTAATTAGCTAATAAACAAAAATTCAATAAAAAAGCTTACACAAGCCACGGAGAGAACATCAAGATTTTTTATATCGGTGTTGCCGCCCACTGGATACTTCTGGTTATCGAACCTTATAACATTCTTGACTGGACAAACCCCTTGCAATTCAAGATGTGCCATCAAACTCCTGTGACAAATGCCAAGAATTCACAACACTGCTTTAAGGTGGACCAATGGAGGATATCTTGAATTCCCTCAATTGTTTTACTCTATGATAAACTAGACTAATCCATTAAACAATAACTTTAAATAATGTGATCATTGCCTTCTACCCTCTTTGAACGGTTAGGTATGTATGGCATTTTGACATTAATGTGGTTAGCAACCACACCGTTTTCCTAGCTGCACCATTCTTGAAAGAGACCAATGTGTCAATGGGTTCTCTCACTCCTTGTTCTAAGATTCTGTCTGCAATGGCTGGCACAGACATGGTGCGCAATGATGAAATACATCTCTGCACTTCACTCGGCTAGTATTATAATGGCAGAGAATACATATTTTACCTAGTTAAACAAGACTTAATCAAGCTCATCATTCCCTCCAGGATTTATTTTTTTAAAGGTACCACTTTGTGGAAAAGTCAAAAAGTGGTAGTTGGTAGACTGGTCCATGCCACAAACATTTAATTTCAAACACTGGCTCAAGATCACAAATGGAGATGACTGCTGCCCAATCATCAATTCAGAATTGATTAAAAATAAATGCACAAGATGAAGTACAAACAAATAAATAAAATGGCAGCAAGTAGCAGTCCAATAACTTAACTTTTCTTGATGTTTTGCAACGGAACAGGTGTGCGCACAGCAAATTTGGCTCAAGCAAAGTAAAACACACTTTGCCTCGGGGTAAACAATTTATGAAAATCTGTGGCCTGTTGCAATAAAGAACTTGAGCGCCTAACTTGTACCGCTCTATGATCAACCAAGAGAAGTTTCCCTTTAGGCGTTTACGCAGCCAAGCACTCGCTCATTAGGATGAGGTGTTTCCAGTTAAAGTGCTCGTGTAAGCTTCACTCAATGCTGCCACAATTAGAAAATAAATCAGCTTCACACTTTCCAACCAAAGCAGGCTACTTGCCAAGAAAGAGAAAAATGTTGAAGTTGATACAATTTGATTGTATCACAAGATGGGGGACAACAGATTCCTGGAGGAAGATGGAGGTGGGAAGGTGGTGTGGGGTTACAGGAGACAGGGTGGGCAGAGGACATACATTAAGGATGCCCTAAATAGTATTCAAACTGGCCACTGCAGGTGCAATCACCTTTTCACAAGCAAATAAAAGAACCACCCAAATGTGGCTTGCAGCATACCACAACAAAGTGGAACACATTGTGAACTCGCGTGCACTGCGAACGTTTTTAGTCCTCTGATGCCAGCAGCTGGATGCACAGCTTGGACATCAATGTAGAGATGCCACTTAATTCATATCCATATGAAAGAACAAGTACAGACAAATAAATCTAAAGATTGATCAACCGATTCCACATTGTGCAACACAGAAAGAATGAAGAGGGCAAAGAGGTGGAGGGTGGGGGGGGTTGTGGAGCAGTACGGACAGGGGGAGGAAAAGGGAGAGGCCATGAAGAAACCACAAAGGAGTGGCGACCCCACCCTCGACAACGCGAATGTTCATACGTGTGCCATTTTCTTCACGTGTGGTTCTGCACATGGGCATGTACATGTCTTTGTGAATATTATTTTAGGTGTTTGTGTTTGGTGCACTGCAAACATAACAGGGCAGACAAAGGCAATGAGTTAGGTGCTGGACACCACCACCCCCCCCCCGTGCATGACGTTAGGCAGAGAAGGTGCTGGGTAAAAGCACCTGTCCTGACAGTTGGCATATGGCCGACTTCAGATCTTTGCATACACAGCACGTTAGCTTAATGCCTCTTAACATGGACATTTTTATTACCAACACCACTTGTGAAATGTATGTTTTGTGTGTGCGTACTTCCGAAATGAAATAACGTATGGTTGTTTAAATGTGTGCTAGTTCATTTGTGGTTTTTTTACATGTTAAAACAAGGATTACAAAAATCCACCATTTTGGAATTCAGACAGTGATACTTATTTGCACCGTTATGGGAGGTGGGGGTGCTATTTGTGGATCCTATTACACACGCATGTTTATCCGCAGGTAAGCAGAAATACTTGGCACGTGAATAATAGAAGGGGATAAACTAAGTCTGCATTTACCCGAAACTTGGTTTCCCAGGCAGCCATTGGCATGTTCCACACTCCCTCCCTATCTGCCCACTTGGATAAGGGTATTGTTGGTAAATAGTGGTTTGTTGCACTTTTTCTGTTCATTCAGGTGTAAGAGATAGTTTAGTGGTTAAGCTTTACAATAAGGGGTTTCCAGCGCGGAAATTCACGTGAATTGCGAGTCGTGTTCCCCCCCCCCCCCCCCCCACGTAAGCGGTGGATTTTAATGTTGGAGACTTCTGATATGCTGGGCAAAGAGCCACATTCAAGATGTGGAACATACCAACAGCTGCTGCATATAAAAAGGAGTTTCACTGTATTGGGAAAATGTGCGGGTTTCACATCGCTATACTCAAATTGAAAGTGAAAATTTGGAGCTTTCCTCATTTCCAGTAAGTTCCCTGTAGTTCAATGTTGATTGTTTTCGTTTTGTAATCACTCATGCTTATTTTTTTTATTTTCAAATATTTGCCAAGCAGGATCACAGTAAATTTGTCACTAAAGGGGTAACACTGACAGGGCCCAGCTGACAGGAGTGACACTCAACATCTTTCCAAATCAAAGTAGTTTTTAGGGGCTTCTTGGAAACAGTCTTATTGGCAGTTTCATTAAAGCCAAAGAACAAAAAATGCAAGGAATGTGCTCTTAAAGGCCTGGAGCTATGCATGGCAAGCCAAACCTGCTCTCCCAAGCTGGCCTGCTGAATATAACCTTTCATACCTCTTGTGATTTGAAAGTTCAATTAAGATAAGGGATCGAGAATTTTTATCCTGGATAAATTAACTTACTTATACGTTTCATTTTCGTGGCACAAAGTTTGTATTATGTTGTAAAAGCAGACACTTCGACCCAGTTTAGTGTGCTATAAATTACATAATTCTCCATCCCTAGTTTGAAAGAAGGCTTATATTGCCTTCAGTCAGTAAAGTTAGTTATATTGGCTATGCACAAACCTACAGAAGATAATAATGGTTCACAATGTAAGAAACATTTTTATGAAGGTATAAACCAATGAAACAGATACCAGAATACTGAGGATAATTAACAGAGAAAGGCCACTTTTTATCATGCACCAATTCATGACAGTAGATTTCACCTTAAGATTTCAATGGTTGATGACTGCATTAAAAGCCTGTTGAGTTACAAGAATTTATTAATTCCTCACAAATGCCTGGGGGCTTGTTAACTTTTTGGAGATAGGAAGACAGCTATTTTGAACACATATCGTTGGGAAACCTGGAAAGAATTTGCTTTATCTTCAAACTAAATGTCATCACATGACAAAGGATGGGGCACTTTGTTTATGAGTCCCAAATCTCAATTTTAAGTGCCCATAAACATGACACGCAAAAACATTCAGAAACAGTTCGAAATATAACATTGCGTCATTTTCGTTTCATAGAACGTTAAACATAAAATAAAATTCAAGTAAGAACCACTGTTGTATCTTTTATTATTTTTCAGATATTTCGGATTCAAGCGGTTTGAACGAAAAAATATGTATTTTACGTTGTTCAAATCTGAAGAATAAGAAAACGGTAAAATATAGGAGCTTCCCCTAAGAGTATGAAGTTGATACATTTTTATTCTTTCTAATAAAAAAAGGAAACTTTATAGTGAGCGGTTTCCAATCGGTACATCTTTAAATATAAGTAGAATCAAATCGTCTCCAACTACTCCAAAATAATAATTTTTACACATGTTGGAGTATATATATATACACACACACATTTTAGAATAGTTGTTAGTGTCTGATCTTTGATACAAAGTGTTAAAAATCATATTCTTTGGGTCTTTCGGTAAAGTCACGTAGATAGGTTCAAAGAAAACAAAAAATAACAAAAAACTACGACGATTTGATCACAACACAAGTGTTCGTCATCAGGAATAAAAAAGAGGGGGAAAGCTGCTGAGGCAGACTGTTTTAGCAGCTTTCCCCCTCTTTTTATTCCTGATGACGAACGCTTGTGCTGCAATCGAAACGTCGTAGTTTTGTTATTTTCTTTGAACCTATCGACGTGACTTTACCAAAAGACCCAAAGAATGAATTCCTGCAGTCACGAAAGCTTTAAGTCAAGAGTTAAAAATCATATCAGGTTTTATGAACGAGTTAACTAATAAGCTGAAAACATCCTAATATACAGAGGACTTCAGAGCCTGGGCAATTTGCTATTGCTGGCTCACCACCTGGCTGCCTTCCAGCTTGTCAGTAGTTCCTCAAAGATTGCTATGTAGAACACGAAAACTTTTGTTATGCATCTACATGTAAAGGTGACCCAGGTATAGGCAGTTCTCACAAAGAGGGCCAAGGAACATGTCTATTCACATAGCATATTTAATGTTACCCATAGTCAAAGTTAAAATTGTTTCCTTATTCGCCGATGCAAAGCTACATACAGCAGTTACATTGGGGAAATGAAACGACATGTCTCGGACCGTGTTCGCAAACACAAGGCAGATTTGAAACAAGGCAGAACCAATACCTCTGCCGTGGCTGATCATTGTTATAACGCAGTGGGCTCGCACGATATTGTTTTTTCCGAAACCAAGGTACTCTGCAAACCTTCGGGCTACCATCAAAGATTTGTCCATGAAGCCATCCAGATATATAAACACAGACAATTTCAACCGAGAAGATGGGTATAAGCTGAGCAATCATTGTAAGGACGTTATTAACCAAGCAAAGTCGTAACTTGCTGTGGTGCTTCCATTCTTCCCTGCCGTTTGGCTGTTATCTCCGACTCCCTGAGTTGCATTGCCCTGTTAGGTGCCTCTGCATTAACGGGCTGGGGTCTCACTAATATGGCCACCTCTGCTCCCTTAGCCTCGATGTATCGATGGTTCTGGCTGTGTGATGGGCTGTGTGATGGGATTTGTGTCTCACTGGCGCCACCACCGTTGCGGTGGTTCTTGCGTGGATGCGCTCGCCCCTCACAGCACAGTTGGCAGCGCCGCAGCTTGTGTTATACATAGACATGACACGAACTTGGTCGTACATGTTATGTATATAGTTTATTGTTAAATTTTAATCACTGTTACATTGTTTTTATAGCTTTATTTTGGTGATTTTTAAAACGTTTTGGTTTAGCCATGTTTGTTTGTTGTAGTACAGAGTTTGCCTGATAACTTTAAATTGTCTTATGGTTGTTATTGTTTGACTTGCATCCCACTGGGATTTTTGCACACAGCGTTGAAGTACGGTGTTTTTTCTGGAAGACTTTGCTGTTTTTTCCTGGATTTTTCTGTTGCGTGTAGTCACTTTAAGATGTTTCTTGTTCATGTTTTTGTTTTGTTGCGGTTGCACCCGAGTCAAGAGCCGCATGGCTCACAGGGTTCAACCTATTAAATGAAACTGAACTTGCTAATCCCCCTAATCTCTCTGCCTAATCTCTCCCATCAACATAGTGCTAATCTCCCATTAACACTGCTGTTGTGTGTATATGCGGTGACGATACTCTTATGCGGCGAAGCTCATTTCATGCTAATCTCTCTCCCTAATCTCCCCCATTAACACAACTGACGTGCTTGCATCCAGGGATGGAATTCCTTTCCAGCTCAGACCCCGCCTGCTTGCCCTTTGCCACATATATAACCTCCTTGTTGTAGCTGCTCTTTCACTGGTTCAGCAGTTCCACTGCTGGATTATTTTTTCCGCCTGAGGACGACCGCTTGTTACGATCGAAAAGTCGTGATATTTTTCATTAGATTTTTCTACCTACGTGACTTTACCGAAAGAACCAAAGAGTAAAGCTACGTACCATAACCAGAAAAAAAATTGCTAAGAATTTTGGAATGAGCAGATATCCACAAAACCAACTGACCAAAATAAAAATAGGACATGTTCTGGTGACTTAATATGCACAATCTATTGCAGGACCAGCCCAAATTTTCCCTGGTGTTTTATATAACAGTCACCAAAGACTGCAACAACTTTGGCCAACCGGCCACTCCATTTTAAAAGAGCACAACATTTAAATGTCTTGGAACCACATTTGTAATGCTTATTTTCAGTTAAAGAGGCCTACTGCAGTTAGTTTTAAACAGGCTGATAAGATGCAACCTCAGTACAGATGTAGTCATCGGTGGCAGACATTTGTTACCAAGGTTGAGCCATATAATGGTAGCACACTGGGCCAAGGGGCATTGGCTGCGGAATCATGGCTAAAATGTGTCAAAAGGCACGCAATTCTGTTCCACACCATTTAAAAGTTAAGTGAACATCTTAATAATCAACATTAACATTTTTTTCTTCTAAATGGGTTCTATTAGAACACATTTGAGGTTATTTATAACTAAAAATCTTTCCATTGAGCAATTGCCTTGGAATATAGGCATTATAAAACTCGGTTTTAGTATTTATCTGCGTCTTATATCGCAAAATGTACTTTTTAATTTAAACTGCGGTGGATGCTGTGATGTTCTACACCAACTTCCATCGTGCTAACAACATATAGAACACACTTTAAGGATTGGGCTATGAGTATACTGCTAATAATTTGTACGTGACCGGGTGAGAACCAAACAATGTAAAACTGATTATACATCTCAATAACTCGTGAAATTGGAAAAGTGAAGATGAGGAGGGGCTGTGAGAAACAAAGCGTTACCACACCTTGGCAGTCGTATAGTCCACCACTTTCTTAGTGGTGAGGTCGCATTTGTTGCCAACAAGCAACTTGTTGACGTTCTCGCTGGCGTAGCGATCAATCTCCTGCAGCCACTGCTTCACATTGTTGAAGGACTCCTACACCACCAAGCAACGGAATGTGACTGTCAGTAAAACATTGCGTTGCATTTGTATCGGTAAATTATGCACTACAGAACCCACTAGCATAGACATCAGGAACTGCATTATACTAAATATTGATTGCCAACTAAAAACCAAAACTACATAGTAATCAAGGTCTAAAATAGTATAAAGTACAGCTCTGACATCAATCCACTAGTGGATGAAGCTATCCTCACAACATGTTTGCTGTAGGGGTTACTTGAACATACTTCACCATACTGGTCAGTGCAGCTTGAAGGCAGGTGGAAGAGCACTGGTTCAGATATCACTTGCCACTGCTGTTAGCCATGCAGTGCAATGCAAACAATGTCATGGCTAATCAGAACAAGGTTAGAGTAGGTATGAAAGTGAATAGACGGCAACAGAGTTCTGGGGTTAAAGGCATTCACAGTGCACAGAATCGAACGTGGTTGCACATGTACCTGATCCGTGACGTCGTACACCACAATGATGCCGTGGGCGCCCCGATAATAACTGGAGGTGATTGTGCGGAAACGTTCTTGTCCTGCCGTGTCCCACTGCACACATATACACAACTTGTCAAGGCACTACCGGGTGATGTTTAGCACGTTGTAATATCAATTTAACAAACATATGGGAGCTGGATAGACTAAGTAGCATATAAATATTGTCACTAAGTCATTTGGATGGTTCGATTCCAAAAGCAAAACAGTAGCTTATGATGTCTGTTATGAAGTGGATAGGTAATTGGAGCCTGACATTAAGTGTATTCGTCCATTATATATTGCTACCAAGATTAAAATTTACCCAAGGAAACTTTGCAAATAAAGAAATGTTAAACTTGTAGGCTTTCGCGACCAATATTATCCATAATAAAGATTTTTTGGGAAAGAGTAAAAATAACAACATAGTTATATTTACGCGATCTAACCAAAAAAACCTTGATTATTAATAAGAAACACATGTTTGTCGATTGTGTTTACTTTACAATGTATTTCAGAGCACTCAGTTTATTGAAATATTTTACCTGGAAAATCCTTTGAGATGGAACATGTTGTATTTTTTTACATTATATGTATTTATGTGCAGTTATAAATAATCATGATAGCACTACTTAAAATGAGGACAATTTTTCTCAATATAAACTGTAAAGTCAGTTCTCCTATAAGGCGGTAGTTGTGTTCCTGAAGAACACGCGTTATGGAAAAATCGCGTGAAAATAACCGTTGAGTCAATGGGATTAAGATTTCGATTTGTGTTCGCTCCTGCGCTGTCCTCGAAACAGTCTTGTCCCTTCACCTGATGAAGGCCACTTGTGTTGTGGCCGAAACGTCGTGAGAATTTTATTGTGTTATTTTATTCTATTAATTTATTATTCTATTCTCATTCTACGTGACTTTACCGAAAGAACCAAAGAAGAGGAATTAAGATGTTAAGGGCTCTGTTTCATAAATATGATAATTTGTCATATTGTTGATTTTAAGTGTTCATTTATAATGACCGTGTTTAAGTTTGATAACATAATTTATGGAACAAATAAAAACATTAAAATGAGTGAAAAATGCATGTTAGTGTTAGTCGCTAAGCAATAGAAAACGTAGCCATGGAGGGTGAAGAGAGAAAACGATGAAGGGTGTTAAGTGACTCACTTAACAGCTTTTAATAATATTCTATGGGTCTTTCGGTAAAGTCACATAGATGGAAAAAAATATATCGCGACGTTTCGATCGCAACACAAGCAATCGTCTTCAGGTGAGAGATGATTGCTTGTGTTGCGATCGAAACAGTGATATTTTTTATTATTTTTCTATCTTTCGATTTAAAGCTTTCGTGACTGCAATGATTCATCTACTTTGGTTCTTTCGGTAAAGCCACGTAGAATGAGAATAAAATAATAAATTGATAAAATAAAATAACACTATAATATTCTCACGACGTTTCGGCCACAACACAAGCGGCCTTCATCAGGTGAAGGGACGAGACAGTCTCAATTTATTATTTTATTCTCATTCTACGTGACTTTACCGAAAGAACCAAAGAAGATATTTTTCTATCTACGTGGCTTTACCAAAAGACCCATAGAATATGTATTCCTGCAGTCACGAAAGCTTTAAGTCAAGCCAATCTTTTAAAATAAAAAATGTATAACCATAACAAATATTTATGAAATGGAAATAAACTCATTGTTTTTAACATTTGCAACAAGATAAGATGGCTGCTTGAGACGAGTAGGCTAAATAAAGCACAGTCCGCGATAATGTGAGATGTGTATGCAGGCCGAACAAAGACTGAGGTGCATGGGTAGCATCTAGAAGTATTCCACCTTGTGTGATGCGACTCCGAGGCAGTCGCACAACCGCTTATTCCTATTCACGCGACGTAGTTCTGTTCACTCAATCGCGTTATGTCCAATTCCCATCCGTACTTATAAAAACGTGTTCCCCAATATCCAATTGGCGTTATGAAAAACACACGTTGTCGCAGAACCCACTGTATAACCATGACAGCCGCTTGATGACACGCGAGAACAATGGATTACAACAAAACGACGAGCATTGCATACATGGGGAGACAGAAATACTCACTATCTGGAGCTTTATGGTCTTTCCATCCAGCTCTATTGTTCTGATCTTGAAGTCCACACCGATTGTGCTGATGTAACTTTCTGTGTAGGTATCATCCTGTGGGGGAAAACAGTGGTCAAGGGAGCACTCCCGAGTCACTCGGTGTATGTACATTATATCTGGGAGAGTTGAGGCCTGGAAAAAGGCTGTAAAATTATGAGCTCAACCACAGCACTTACTAAGGCAATAGAAAAAGCAAAGGTTGTAGAGATTGGCTCTGTCGCAAGATTTCACCAAATTAATGAATGTCTGACTCATGCGTTAACTAAATGAATACGAGGGTGTTTCAATAAGTGACAATAGTTATTTCCAAGGAACATGTTACTGAATACGCCAGAAAATGTATCCACGGAGTAATCCTCTCCCAAATAGTACTCGTCCCAGCAGCCCTCCAGCTTCCTACCCAGAGCAGCACACAACTCTTATGGTTGGTCCCCAAGACATGCCGGCAATACTGCCGATCCACATTCCACAGTTTCCTTCAGGGAGGTCCAAAGAGCCTTGCATACATCGTTAATACAACCACGATTCATTGTTGCAATCATATTGAAGCGTCATCTTCAAGAGATCTCTCGCCCTTACATCCTCAAGAGGACAATAAATAACAGCTAGCTGCTATTGAAATGTGCAAAGGTCCTGTCATCTTTGATCACGTGATACCAGGTACATAGCCAATTGACGAAGAAATTTAAATTGGGGAAAAACGCTTTACTTTTTACAACACCCTCATTAAAAAAAAACTAATTTAGAATAACTATCCCTCTACCTGTGATAACAATGTACTAATGAACAAGATTACGTCTTCAAAAACAATATTATATTTGACAGATGGATCACTTGGGTGTGGACTCAATAAGACCAATGTGTCTTCACATCGTGCTGTTGGGAATTTAAACTCTGCCAAAGGAGTGTAGGCCTGTGCCCTCATCGAATTAGTTTTAAGCACAGCTAACCAAGTTTGGGCAGCGTGCGTCATTGCTACAACTGTAGTACTTAGAATTCTCACATTGTAGAGTGGTTTGACTTGATTGTTTGTCTACCATGTGTCAAGAATGCTGTTTATGTTACAACTAGTTATGTTCGAGATCATTTTCATTTGTATTCGAACTGTCATTTGTGCAGGCCAAAAGAAGGGATTAACCGAGTAATGTAACAATTTAACTCCCTCACGATGGGATGAATTGTCACGATTCGGAGTAGAAATAGGATTTCAGAATAATGTATTGCCATTGTAGTCTATGTAGCACATGTAGTGGTTGCAGGGTCTACACAAAGAAATGAGATACAACATAAGGGTAAAAACCCAACATAATCTTGCATACATAATTATACACATATTACGAGCATGATAATTTATTGCTTACTAACAGGTTTACCCGTTCTTCGCACGGAAATTAATAGTTTAGTCCATCACAAATGTGACGTCACCGCTCACTTGCCGTGCAATAGATTTCCATTATTGAGCTCGCCCCCCCCAAATACAAAAGTCTATTTTTATACTTTTTGCATTATGTAGTCTGGAAGCTACCCACATGCCAAATTTCAAGTTTGTTGCATGTTGGGAAGTATGCTAAACATTTCGAACAGACACACATTAACAAATTTCCCTTTTATACATATCGATTTACATGTCTGGACCTTAATGAATACTAAAATCTTAACTTACAATAAAAATACATTCCACATGAAAGATATCAAAAGCATTCATGTTTTGCATCAGTGATTCATGAAAGTGAAACAAATTATAATCGCCAACTAAACAGAGGGGAATTTTTATTTTACTTATGCTACAAAAACACCTAAACTATGCATTGCTACTAAAGTGTTCCTTCCCATGTAAGTAAAAACATGGCAAACCTGCACACCAATCATTGCTCTCACTACTTCGGGAGTTTTTGGAAAAATACCTTAATTTTGGAAATCTCCACTGAACTAGATATACAGTACGAGCTTTACTACCCGGCTTCACCCGGGACTTGGATTCAGCACGCCCAGCCGCCTGTGTCTCCCCAGTGGCGATGTTCACACACCACACCAGTTACTCGTTTGAGGCTGAGTCGACCTAGGGGAGGCCCAGGACCGGTTAAAATAATCGTCACCGGTGGTGGCCGTGAGCGTGAATGGAACTCGGGTCGCCAGGTTCGTAGCGCAGTGCGCTAACCACTACACTACAATGCGTTACGCTTCCACATGCGCGGGTCACATGGCAGATTTGACGTCACAGCTCACTTGCCGTACAAAAAATATGCATTATTGAGCTCCCCCCCCCCAAAAAAAATTGTATTTTTATTACTTTTGCATGGTGTACAGTCTGGAAAGTACCCACATGGCAAATTTCAAGTTTGTTGCACGTCGGGAAGTACGGTAAACATTTTGAACAGACACACAATCACAACTTTGCCTTTTATATGTATGGTGATTATAAAGCTGCATAAGTATTGGTTATTGCATCTTCAGAGCTTCCACTGAATGCTACAAAATACATGTTTCCAAGTTTAGCTATTAATATTGGGAGTTTCCATGAAACCCTAAGAATATATTGTTTTAAATAAATATCTGTGTGCCTAAAGCATTTAACTTAACCTTGTTTTCCTCGAAACCTATCAAGCCTTATTATACAGTTATGTACACTTTCATATGTATGTTATGAAAATATGTAATTTGTCAATTGGTATACAAGAAAATAAGTAACACGCTACAATGTATGTAATCCAGTGAACTTACACAGTACCATCAACGAATGCTTTGTGCGACAATCTTATTAATCCGGACGAGCATATGAACTACGTCTAAAGGTTACCTAAAGATATAGAAATGTAAGGTGTACACACTTGTAAGCTAATTCATGGGTGTGAATTGGTGCAACACCTGCTGCACCACTAATCCACTTGCTATGATGCAAAATATTTAAGTCCCCTTCCCATGAAAGAGTTTTGGAAGTGATGAAGAGGTGATTACTTCATTGAAATCCCGGTTTCAGAGGGAAAAAACACATTACTTGGTGGCAGGAAACTCACCCACCGCTGGGTAATGTTTGTGACGCTGGTTGGAAACTAAATAGACAAGGAATAAACATCTTTGCCAAGCTTTGCTGGCACAGGACGATTCCCCCGTGGTGCGGGGGAAATGTTTAGACTTTCCCTCATGCTTCAGCTCATAAGATATTTTTGGTGGAAGGCTTAATAAAATACGTGACATCACTAAAATGAGTAAGTGGACAAACACTATAGTTTACAAGAATAGACGTCAGCCAATAAGCAGTCCTGGCTAAACAATAAGATGAGAACAAAGGTGTAACAGGTCAACATAGAGAGAGGGTAGTTGGTGGTGGCACAAGCCAGTGTCATGCAGTGTCACACTACCGTATACGTGGATGAGCCAAAAGCACCATGTGGGGTACACCTTGGCAACCTCTGCCTGAATTCTGCTCGCAGTGTGGAATGGACTTTGATCGGAAAAACACCACGTTTACAGTCCAAAACGTCTAAAACACGGACTGCATCTTTTCAAACATTACCACATTAAAACTAAACATGACGAATGTTAGTCTGCTGTTGCTGACGCACCAGATAAAAAAAAATCATATATAGTTAGTCTTTCAATAAATAACCACGCTCAAATTGAACAGTCGTCCTTTTAGGCACATATCTAGGGTGGTTAGAACTCCCATTCTTTCACCTTAGAAATATTGCCTGGCTCCATCGATTCCTGACACCTCATTACTTTGAGAGATTGTTTCATGCTTGTGTTCGCCCAACTTGATTACTCCAACGCATTACTGTTCAGGATTCCGAGTGAGGTGCTGGGTTCGACTCCACCTCGTTCAGAACGCACCTGCTAGAGTGCTTACGAATACACCCTTTAACGAGCACACATTCTCTTGTCTATGCAGTGGCTACCAGTCATGTAGTGGATTATAATATACTGCTGCTGACCTACAAGGCTCTGAATGAGTTAGCTCCACAATGTTTATATTCAAAATATGTTCCTGAGCTCTTCGGATCACCAAGTACCTCGACATCAAGGCTCTGTTCCTGAGCTGATTGGGCTTTTGCCAGTGGAGCTCACAGACTACAGAACACTGTTCCTTTAGTAATAATACAATCGGAGTCAGTCGAGCTATTCATGTCCGTCTTGAGAACTCACCTTTTGAATTGGCTTTCACTTATTAGTTCAGGCCATTTACCCTGGTTCTGTTTACATCCTGCTATCCTCACCTATTTGCATGGTTTGCTACGTAGTGCGAAGGACGTTCACCATACATACACACACGGTGCATTGGAATCTATAGAAGAAATTCGCCTTTTACATGTCTATTAATATTATGATGTAATGGGCGATCACAATTTACATGGCTTACATTCCTACAGAGTGGATGGTAGTGTGATGGGCTTAGGCGGAAGCGTTATGACTCCACCTGCATTTTTTCTATAACCGCCTTCAGCCTGAAATTTCTCCCCCTTTTCCCAATTTGGGGCATTAGGGCAGAGGCCTAATGAGCCTTCGAATACATGCTGACTTGAACTGTGCCCTACATCATTGAGTCTAATAAGTATACAGACCACGTCTTATTTGGGGATCCTGAGGGTGTTAACTGGTTATCCAGGTCAGGATTTTTAGGCAGCAGGTCAATACATATGGGTAGGAGTAAGTAATTATCAATGAGCCTCGGGGGCTCCAACGTCAGGAATTAGGGTTAACTGGCACGCACCACCAATCACTGTGGATAGGCGCTTCAGCCTGCACCAGCACGCTAGCCTTACAGCCCTGACTCTTCATTCTATTAAATGTAGGGCAGCAATAGTTGCAGCAGTCAGCCAAATCATGCCCCATATGGAGATAGGAAAAAAAGGTGTGGCCATGTCTTTCCTCAAAGGGACCTTGCAATTCTCGAATGGTCGGTTTCATAGGGGAGTGGCCTGTTTGGGCCATGACATGAGAAATGGCAGGGAAATTATTAACCACAGGAAAAGTGCTTAAACCATGAAAAGTGATGCACAACCCGAGCCATGCTTATAAATCAAAATTCCCCAATTTGAGAGCCCTAGGGATAAAGA